CAGAGGGTCAAGGACTGCAGCCTCCAATATGGATTGAGGCTCAATGTCAAGAAGACAAAGATTCACACCACTGGACCTATTGGCAGCATCAGGATGGATGGTGAAGAGATTAAGATTGTTCATAGCTTTAGTTGCTTGGCTCCACAGTCTGTTGACTGTGTTCTGTCTTGGCACCAGTAGCCAGGAAAAGACATATTGCAATGGGAAAGCCTTCTGTTAGGGACCTTTCCAAAGTTCTGATGAGCAACAGTGTTTCTCTGGAGACTAAGGTGCATCTGATACAGGCCATGGTCTTTGCAATCACTTGTTAAGCATCAGAGAGTTAGGCAATGACTAGGGAGGATAGAAGGAAAATTGATGCCTTTGAGCTGTGGTGCTGGAGAAGTGTATTGAGGGTACCATGGACTGCTAGGAAAACAAACAGATTCATCCTGGAGAGGGTTAAACTGGGCGGCTCCTTGGAGACAAGGATTCTGAGGCTTCGTCTGACATACTTTGGACATGTTGACAGGAGGGACAGGTCCTTGGAGAGGGACATCATGCTTGGTAGGGTGGAGGGACAGTGCAGGAGGGAAAGGCCCTCTATGAGGTGGACTGATTCAGTGACTGGGGTAATTTGGTTGGGTGTATCAGAGACAGTGATTGGCACAGGACAGAGCAGAGTTTAGGGTCATTGTACACAGGGTTGCTCTGAATCGCAAGCGACTCGACAGCACATAACAACAACAATCGTAAAACTATTTTTGTTTAACTATTGACAGGACAAAAGTAAAACAAAAGTCTTACCAAATTTTCATTTACAATTCCATCACTGGCTGCAAAAAAGGCTAAGATGTGAGAGATAAAATACTTCTCATCTGGTTTAAGCCGGTTCCAGTGAGGGAGATCCTTTGATAAGTCAACCTGTAACATAAAAAGATTTTTCAAAACTTTAACTTGGAATTAAAATCTTTGTAATGTATTCAGAAAACGTTCACTCCAAAGTTGAAGAAGATCTTCTTAGTGTTAATTTGTGAAAAAAGGAAAAATATCTACAAGAAACAAAAATAGCAAATGCATTACGATGAAATCTTATTTTCTGGCTAACTGAAAAGTAGATTGGCCAAGGTTTACTTTAAACATATTAAAATTAACATTTAAGGGAAGAGAAAAGCAATAGTCTATAGGGACGATCAGCAAAATAATCACTAAAGAAAGGGAAGTCTCAAAGAAGTACAGACAGATTAGTGGAAATCAAAATTACAGGGAGAAAATGGAGAAAGTGCAGTGACATCGGAGATAACAAAGTTAATTTGAATGAACAAAATACGTCTGCATAGCTGAATGAAAAATTAATTCATAGCAAGCCTTCACTCAAATAACAATTGAAAAATTGCAAAAAAATATATTAAAATTAACATTTACATTTCCTAATATATGAAAAAATGTATTTCTATTTTCTATAATATTTAAATTTGTTAGATAATCTGGTTAGCTGCTGTTGATTCCAGCTCAGGGTAGCTCCATGTGCATCAGAGTTGACCTGTGCTCCACTGGACTTTCAATGCTTAATTTTTCAGAGATAACATGGCCTCAGTTACAAGATGGCTTTCTTCCAAGGACTTGAATTTCTTGGCAGTTGACTATGTTAACTGCAAAACTCTGGGAACTCCTAGATAACATTGTTGTAGACCATCAAACTGGAACCAACATAATATAGCTGACCCTCCAGTGTGTTTTCAGAGACAGTAAATTGCAAAAGAATCAAGGCACATGGTTCAAATCCACCAGCAGCTCCGTGGGAAAAGGATAAGCAATCTACTCTCCTGCGATTAACTGCCTCTGAAACCCCTGGAGGGTCAGCTATGGGCCAGTTCCAATGATGGTACAACTACTATACTGCCAGCTACTTTTAAATGCTCTGGTTGTGCTCACTTTGGCAGCACATATACTAAAATTATAACGATACAGAAAAGATTAGCATGGTTCCTGCGAGAGGATGACACTCAAATTCATGAAGCATTTCATATTTTTCCATCCAGGAGAAATCTACCAGGCTGCAAGCCCTGCCTGGTCCTCGGTTAACTCTGCATGTCTGACGCTGTCCTTCTGCCTGTTTTCTCCATGTTTGTGAACTGCACAACTTGAGCCTGACTGTACATCTTTTGGGTTTGTTTCATTTAAAAAAGCAGCACTAAAAAAAGGGGGGGGCTCTGGTGGTGTATCTGTAGGTTGTGCTGTTAATAGAATGGTCGCACCTCTCTGGTAGTTCAAATCTACCAGCAACTCCAAGGGGAGCAAACGGGCCATCTTCCCCCATGTGATTTACAGCTTTAGAAATCCAATGGAGGGTCAGCTCGCAGTTCTGACTAAGGAATGCTAGTGTTGTAGCAAATTAAGCGCTAGCTGCAAACAGACAAGTTAGCAGTTCAAATCCACCAGCTGCTCGGGAGCTGAAAGAATCTGCTTCTAGAATATTTACAGTCCAGGGCAGTTATACTCTGCCTATCAGATAGGTTGCTACAAGTCAAAACTGACTTGGTTCAAAACATGAGATATCATCTTACCCCAGTCACAAGAGCAAAATTCAACAGAGCAGCAAACAACAAATTCTGGTGAGGTTGTGTTAGTGGGAGTTTAATAAGGTGCAACCACTAGGCTGTATGGCACTCTCTCAAAATGTTGGAAATAGAAATACCAGTTGACCCAGAAATTCTACTACTAGGAAGTTACTCTAAAGAAACCAGAATTGCCACTCAAGCAGATATATGCATACCCATGTTTATTGCAGCTTTGTTCACAATAGCAAAGAGGTGGAAAAAAACCCAAGTGCCCATCAACAAATGAATGGCTAGAGAAGCTCTGGGATACTACACAGCATTGAAAAACTAGGAACTCATAAAATATTATACAAAATGGGTGACCCTGCAGGATAATGTGCTGAGTGAAATATCTCAGTCACAAAAGGATAAATACTGCATAGTGCCACTGCTATAAAGCAACACTGACATCGGGTTTGGGGGGAAACTAGGAAAAGAGGGGATAAAAATGCATACTGCACTGAAACAGATAAAGGAGAGAACGAATGTTTAGGAGGAATATATGATTAGGTATTGTTTGCATGACAAGTGTCCAAAATGAAAGCTGCATAGTAAAGTGGACTGGGGCAGGAGGTGATTGTATAACTATGAAGGAATTTTTTTTTCTCTTCAAAAATAAAAGTAAACTTGAGGGAGGGGGGCCAGGGAGGAAAATGTACAACAATGAACGAATGGAAATCCAAGTTCTCTATAATCTTTCATTAAAATCTCAATATTAAAAAAAAATCTCAATATTAAAAAAGGGGGGAAACCTAACTTGGTGACACCGGAGAATCTACTTTTATGACCAGAAAGAATGTTACGCAAGTAATGAGCTGGGTTTTGAAGCTATTTATAGGCCTGGCTTATTCTGAAAATAGAAGTATTTTTTTAAATGTTTGTTTGAACCAGTCTTTGGACTTAAGAGAGTGAGACAAACTCTAGAATTTGATGAAATATTTCTGTCATTGTTATGTGCCATCAAGTTGCCTGCAACTCATAGCCTCTATGTATATTCACTCTGAAACCTGCCCTATCGTGGCCTAACTTCATGGTTTTCAACAGACCTACCCCCATCACCACAGCCATTGAGTCAATCCATCTCATCGAGGGTCTTCCTCAGTTGGGCTGTCCCTCTACCTTCCCAAGCATAAGGTCCCTGTCCAAGGACTGGTCCCTCCTTGCAACATGCCTAAAGTATGTCAGATGGAGCTTCAGAATTCTTTCCTCCAAGGAGCTGCATGGTTTTACCCTCTCCAGAATGAATCTGTTTATTCTCTTGGCAGTCCATGGTATACTCAATACTCTTCTCCAGCACCACAGTTCAAAGGCATCACATGTAACTATATATATGTTCTAATATTTTTTAAATAGCCCTTCTTAATTCTAGTACATTTGCCAAAAGATGTACATAAAGTAGAGGTGGAATTCAAGCAACCAAAGTAACTGGAAACTTTTTAAACTGATGACTGAAAAGACCACCTGCATATTCCATTTGTTCTCTTAACCCTGTCCAACAAAGAAGTTTCTAAAACAGAACTTTCTTAAAACCAGACAGTTAAGGAGAGTCAGGTGTGTGCCAAACAATATGACTCAGTTTGAAAATACTGGGAGGTATTTTTTTTGTTGCTGTTGCTATTCTTATTTTCTACAACTATAATATAACAAGTGTGTTGATAATATAACAATACAAAAAAGATGGGTGAGTAAGACAACACAGAAGAACATTTTTTAAATATTAGTACCTTCTATGATTCCTAAACCTCTCTTGCATGCATAAAATAATGGTTTGTTTATTTTGTGCTTAGCAAAATAAGGAGTACCATTCTAAGCATCTTATTATTAGTCTTTATAAAAACCTAACGAGCCAAGTACTGTTAGCCCAATTTACCAATGAGAAAAGATTCCCAAATCTGTAGCTAGTCAGGATTTCTACTTAGGCAGTCTAGCTTTAGAGCAGCATTCTTAACAGTGTGTGTTTACCAGTATGAAAACACTGTCCACCGGTAGACCATACACGTACATATCTCTAGGTAGTGTAAGTGGTTAAGTGTTTAAGAGAATTGATGCCTTTGAGCTGTGTTTGAACATTCTGTTTCATCTTAATTTTAAAAAGTTCAAGTCTGTTCTGATTTCAGTTCACTGGTTATGAATGAAATAATTCAAACTGGTTTGAAGTCTTGGTTTAGTAAGAACCTATGTAACCAAAGATCCTATATAAATCAGCAAGCATTCTTAACTTGCTGTGTCTGATTCATATCCTAGGTAGAAATTACAACACTAACAGAAAGCATTTCTTTAAGTGGTCCTGCTGCTGTGGTGGCAGCTGCGCCAGGTTTGACATGGCTGCGGTTAGGGCCACTCTGGGAGAGGCTCTGTAAAATCAGTGGCAGGCTCAGGAATGAACGTGCTTGCTGCCTGAGGGATCAACCACTCCAGGTGACCACTCCTTCAGTGGAATCAGGTTAGTCGTTAGTCTCTTTCAAAGTTAGCAAGGTTTTCATTCCATTTTTGGCTATAGCTAAATTGCAGTGGCATTTATCCTACCAGCCATCAGTGAAGATTAGCCACAGCAACCAGAAGTACATATAAAAACAGAACATGTTATAAGAGACATTAGAAATGAAAAGCTAACAAAGTGAGGAGCCAGTTTTGCAACAGGAAAGCTGTTCATAGACAGTAGTCTAAATATAAAACATTGGAGAACAATTCACAATTGTTTGCATGAACAACAATTTCAAATATTTTCTTACACAATTTCATTTATTCAATGTATCTTATATAATTTTAATATATGTTAAAACTATTCAATATATTGTAGCTGAAGATACGAAAACAGCACTTCGCAATGCTAACACAGGTGACGCCTCCTACCTCTTCCACTGTCCAAAAGGATGCCTGTGCTTGTTTATACATCTTCCAAATATCCGGGTACTGGATTGGGAAGATGACAAATCGGCGTAAACTCTTGTTTAGAAGGGGTTCTTCATTTGACTTCACTTCATTTCCGTTCGTTTCTGGAGATAACCTCTTTGAAATACAACAAAACAATATTTTAATGTAATATTTTCCCTTTTAATGATATCTATATCCCTATCTGGGGGTGTTGAGGAATAAAGCACAGGTCTGGAGGCCAGTCTGTCTGGACTGAACCCTTACTATAATAGTATCTGGGTAGTAATGTTTCAATAGTAATGTGTCCTTAAGTAGGAAGTTATTTTAGTTCTCTGAGCCCCAGTTTTCTCATCTTTAAAAGGTTATCTAACAGTGTCACGCACTTTGATGAGCAAATAGTGCTTTATTTAAACAGCCTGGCACATAATAATCAATCACAGTACAGCCATTATTGCTACTGTAAGGGTAAGCAGAGAAATGGATGCTTAAGCGTCAAAAAAGATCAAATTCCAAACCTTTCAGTGCCTCTCTTAGACACAGAACACTGATACCTAGAAACTGTTATAAGTTACTTAGGTTTAATGCCTTCTTTTCATAATAAGTGAAATACTCTAACACTTACCTGAAAACAATTATTACCAGCAACTTGTCAGCCTTTACCCTTAGTATTACATATCAATTTGTTATTCTTATATCAACTTCAACATTACTATATATAGTCTAACTGTGGACTGACTCAAAGCTTTCTGGAACAAAATGAGAATATTTATCTTTCTAAAATCCTATGCTGTTCTGTACTGTCGCGTCAAAACCAACCCACAGCTGACCCTACAGTGGGTTTTCAGAGACAGTTAATCACACAAGAGGAGGCTGCCCATCCTTCTCCCACAGAGCAGCTGGTGGATTCAAACTACACGCCTTTAGAATTGCAGTGCAGCTTCTTGACACTAGGCCACCAGAGCTTCCATATTGCTGTCAAATAAATTCTTACTCAACAGCAATCTTACAGGACAGAGAAGAACTGCCCTCTATAGTTCTGAAGACTTTAAATCTTTACAGAAGCAGATTGCCTCATATTTCTGCCACACAGTGGCTAATGGTCTCAAACCTTCCAGCCTTCTGTTGGCAGTCAAACACTCAAATACTGTGCCACCATGGCTTGTGCTTGCTCACTCGCACTCGTGCGTGTGCTCTCTCTATATATATAATGTGCATATATATGTGTGTATACACACACGCGCACACGCATATGTTGTTGTTGATTGCCTTTGAGTCGAGGACAACTCATAGCAAGGCTATGAACAAAGGGCTTGAATCTCATCTTCAACTACTGAGATTTAGTAAAGTTCATATAGTTTCTGGAGGCATTTTATTGAGGAAGTGGATGTCACTCCTGCTTTCAAACTTGTCGTAGTGTTGTTGTTATATCTCACTGAGTCATTTGCAACATATAGCGACCCTATGTACAACAGCTCTGAAGCCTGCCCTGCCCCGAGCCAGTCTCACTAACTCCAACACCCCTCATCACCCCAGTTACTGTATTAATCCATTTCATCTGGGGTCTCCCTCTCCTGCACTATCAATCCACCCTTCCAAGAATGATGTCCTTCTCCAAGGACCAATCTCTCCTGGCCACGTACCCAAAGTAAGTGAGGTGGAGCTTCAAAATCCTAGCCTCTATGGAAAGACCTGACTTCACCCTCTTTCAGACAGACCTATTTGTTTTCTTGGCAGTCCCTGGTATGTGTAAGACTTGTTCAGCACCATACCTCAAATTCTTCTTCTGTCATCCTTAGTCATTGTCCAACTCTCTGAAGCACAGCAAGTAATTGAGAAGACCATGGCCTGGATTAAGTGCACCTTTAGATTTAGACTGACATTATTGCTCCTCAGCAATCTGGAGAGGTCCAAAACAGCAGATTTTCCCAATGCAATTCGTCTTTTGATTTCCTGACTGCTGGTGTTGAGAGTGTTGACTGTGGATCCGAGCAAGCTGTAATTGTTAACGACCTCAATCGCTTCACCACCCATACTGATGCTGCCAATTGGCCCAGTAGTGAGAATATTAATTTTCTTGATGTTGAACTTCAATCCATATTTAAAGTCCTTAACCTTCTGCATCAAGTGCTTCAGGTTCTCCTCAGTTTCAGCAAGCAAGGTTGTGTCATCTGTATATCGTAGGTTGTTAATGAGTCTTCCTCCTATCCTGATGCCACACTCCTCATAAAGCCCTGCTTCCCAAATGATCTGTTCTGCAGATTGAAAAACTATGGGGATAGGATGCATCCCTGATGCACTCCTTTCCTAATTTTGAACTATGCTGTGTTTCCTTGCTCTTTTCTGAGGACTGCTTATATAAAACACATATATTTATACACACAGAGACACCCTGTTGTTGTTTTTGAGTACCATAAAGAATTCACACACAGTTGACTCTACAGTGGGTTGACAGGCAGCAAATCGCAGAGGTGACTGCTATCTTTCTCCCACGGAGCAACTGGTGAATTTGAACCATGTACCTTTGCATTGGCAGAGTAATTCCTTATAACTAAGCCACCAGATCGCCTCATATCTATATATAATATATAATGTTATAAACACATACATTTTATATGTATGTGTAACTGTTATGTGCCATGGCGTCAAAACTGACTCAGCTGACCCTCTAGTGGGTTTTCAAAGGCTGTACATCACACCACAGCAGACTACCCATCTTTCTTCTCCTGAGCCAACGGTGGATTTGAATCATGAGCCTTAGGACTGGTAATATAATTCCTTGATCCTAGGCTGCTAGATATGTTGTTGTTGTTATGTGCCATCGAGTCGTTTCCGACTCATAGCGACCCTATGCACAACAGCTCTAATCCCTGCCCTATCCTGCGCCAACCGCACCGCCTCTGACACACCCATCCCGATTACCCCAGTCACCGAATCAATCCATCTCATAGAGGGTCTTCCCCTCCT